GGCGGCAGGCGGGAATCGAACTCATGCGGAAGTGGCTTCAGATTCTCAGTGCTGTGCTTTAACCCGCTGCGCCACCAGGGAGGGCCTTATTTTATAATCTTATCTTTTGGACTCATTTTCTAAAATATTATTAAAAATCTATAATAATAGTATTCAATTTTTTCCCATTTGCTTTCAGTTGGGAATAACAGCTACAAACACAAAATAAGAATCGTAATGATCATGAACATGGTTCTGTGTTCAGCCAAATGCCTGAGCTTGTGCAGCTAAATGTGATGGAGACAGGAACAGACCAAAAGACAGCTTTTAGAGTCCATTTTTTTCTTCTACCTTATCAAATCTTTTACCATATCAGGTTTTTGACTATATCACTTTTATCAGAACAGCTCCTCCACTGTATCAAATTTCCTTAATTATTTGAATAATTCTGGATGTCTTGTGAATTGTAACATTTTATTTTGGAGATAGAAATTGCTCTTCTCTTGGGAGGCCTAGGTCGAGTTAATGTTTTTTTATATGTATCTCTATGTGTGTGTCCTTTTTCATATTACCTTTAGATTTTATTGTTTTCTTTGAAAAATCTGCCAAAGTTTAAATAGATATGAAAATATAAAGCAATAAAGTGAAAACATGATCAACAAAGTTTGAAGAAAAATTAAGTGAATGAAATAATTAATTGCAGAGCTTCTGTTGAGTCATAGAATATGCTGTGATCCTGGTATCAGCCCTGAGTTTGTATATTTTGTTGGTATTAGAGAGGCCAGAGTTTTTAAATCCAAATAGATCCAAGTGTTGATTCCCCAGGAAAGAAACAGAGCTTCAGTTAGGTGTGGCAATGCTAGATCTCATAGTTTCTCTTGGTGTATTCTTATTCCAAAGTTTTTACTTTAAACAATGTTAGGAAAACAAGTGGATTCAATTATATTCAAGTGTGTGGTTACATGCCCTGTTTCTCTGACTCTTTCATGTCCACTGAAAAGTAACTTCTTCCTTGAATAGGAGCAAATAAAGACTACTTTCAAATTCTCCTTTTCATATTCAACTTGAAAATAGCTTGTAATATTTTAACTAATGCTGTATGGAAAATGACCACAATATATTATCAAGTAAAAATCATTGATTAAAAAGCAAATTTCCTTGCATAATATATGAATATATTTATATAAAACATGATCATATTAAGTTTCCATTAAATAAGTATTTTATAAAACATTTAAAATACTTTATATTAAAAATGTAGAAAGAAAGTAGAAAGAGGAAGAATGTAGATCTGCACTGTACAGAAAGTAGAAGAAAGGATAAGACTGGTGCCAATGTTATATTGGTAAAGAAAACTGGAAATGGGGAATATTTTCCTTTTTCATTGTATAGCTTTTAGTCCTGTTTGGAATTTTTAGTTAGCATGTTTACATTTATAATTAACTTCCTAAACATTTATTAAGTTCCTTCAGACACCAGTCACTATTCTAGATTCCAATGGTGGAAAAGTTTCAAGTTAGCAAGATATGATTGCTCTTGCTAGAGAAGATTACACAAAAAAAAAAAATGCCAAAAGGGGAGTTTTTTATTTTTAATTTATTTTTATTTATGTATGCATACAAGAACTGGGGTATAGGCCAGAGATGGAGGGGGTGAGAGGATTCACCAGAGACAGAGTGGGAAGCAGAACAGACAGATCTACTGAAATACACTGCTAAGGGGAGCAGCGGGCATGTCAGGAGAGATGTGCTATGCCATGTGCGTCAGCTCCCTGGCCTGAGATCATGCTCATGCCTCAGTGGCTGGTGATAGCTTGATAGCCCTGAGACTTTAACCTCTGCACAACTAGGGAGTTCCCCAAAAGGGCTCTTTTGTCAAAAGAAATATGAATCAAGTCAGTGCTAAGCTCCCAACCTTCATTAAGATTAGTTTTCCTTTAGTTTGGACAGTGTTGGCCACTCCCTGTTTTATGGTGGGAAACCTTATCTTAATAATTGAATTAAACCTCTATTCCTAAATGACAGACACATTTTAGAATGTAGGTGATTGATACTCATTTTTGGTCTTAATTATATTTATATTGTCCCTTAGTTGAAGTTGTGAAATATCACACTTATGTGTATTTCAAACAACTTAATTAAAAATTAGGAAATGCAAATCAAAACCACAATGAGATATCACCTCAAGGATATGGAGAAAATGGAACCCTCTTACACTGTTGGTGGAAAGCCCCGATGGAAAACAGACTATTCACAAAATATTGAAGTAGTTTGTCATTTGTTCCAAAATTTCCACTTTAATTATTTATGCAAAGAATGCAAAAACATTAGTTTGAAGAGACATTGACAGTTCTGTGTTCACTCCAGTACTATTTACAATAGCCAACTTACAGAAACAAGCTTAGTGTCTTAAGGACAGAAGAATGGATTAGAAACGTGGTATATGCACATGATGGAATATTACTTGACTATAAAAAATGAACTCTTGCCATTTCTGACAGCATGGTAGAACTAGAGGAGAAAATGTAAAGTGAAATAAGTCAGAAATAGAAAGACAAATATCAGATGATTTCATTTTTATGTGGAATATAATGAAACAAAACAATGAAATTTGTAACAAACCCTAGACATTTTACTATGGAATTGTAGCTATGAAGTGGGGAGGATTGCTGGAAAACCAAGTAGGGGCGGGCACAAAGATTTATGGTGCAAGGCTGAGGGTATCTTGGTGGTAGGTGTGGTGTACTGTTAACCATCTGAAGAGGTATGGTCCTGTGCTTTTGGATCACACATATTGTTATATACCGATGTTGTCCTAATAGCCAAATAAAATAGAATTAGGTTTAATATGAAAAAATAATAATCATAAACAAAAAAGCTGCTGTACCAGAAAAAAAAAAGAGTTGGGAAATCATGATTTTTAAATGGCAAACCATCTTTTTTTTTTAATGTTTAGAAAGTAACCTGTTAACTAACACTTTACATTTATGTATCCTACATTTGTATTTTATTTTCAAAGACTAATGTTTGTGAAAATATGCCTCCATTTCCAGGTAGATACAATTTTTTCATTAGTTTGCTTTTATGGCTATTCTTTACTGAGCTATTTGCCCTTCCAGACTAAAGGAGGAGGTAGATGAAACATTATCCCCTAAAAAGTGTTCCCCACTGTGGTTTTCAAGCAAGACCAATTGGAAAGGGTGGTTAGGGTGACTGAAGAGGTGTGAACTGTTTAATTAAACATTGTTGGTGAAAGTAAATGGGACAGTGCTTATCTATAATTCACACCTCTTCAGTTGCCCTTATCAAGCCTTTAGAGGGTCTGTTTTCAAGGGAATTGCTGTTGTGGCTGATATACTAAAATAATAATTTATTTTCCTTTGCTTCCATATACCCACTTGGATGGAAAAATACCAGTCCTCTAAGTTCCTCCCCTCCAAATAGAAAAGATGGGATAGTTGTGAGTAAATACGGAATATTCTCTTTCTTTTGTACGTAAAAACTGCAGTGAAATATTGCATTACACTCTGCATATAAATGCATCATTATGTTTTGCCATCTCCTTGGCTCAAGTCTTGCCTTCTAGCCTGAAGAGAATGATACCATCTAAAATGTATCTTTATGGATGGAGAGGGATTTCAGTCCCGTGCACTATGTCAGAGATCATGATGTAGTAAATCTATTCAAATGTAAACCTGTTCAATTCAATTACCAGTCCATAATACAATTTGCCGCTACAACCCCCGGGTTGACCACAGCAGTCCATACAGGCTGATGGCACAGCAGGTCTGGAAATTGACAGACAAAATCTATTTAAACAAAAAACAACATTAGTTCTGGAATCTGAAATGAAATCAGATTTCAACAGCTTTGATGGGAGCCTTTTCCCTTTAACAGGTATTTTTATTCAACTAGCCAAATGCATCTTAGATAAAGTGCTGTCTGAGGGAAATGAAGATTTTTTTATTAAAGACATGGCTCATAGAAAAATGAGGCTTTTGTGCTTTTATAAATAGTAATCCTTAATTTTATTGATTGGTATGTCTACTAATAATGTGTGGCCTATGAGAGAGGGGATGACGTAGTGGGGAAATGAATGTGCATCACATTGTACATAACTGAATGCTTTTCAGCTACAGCTTCTCTTTGGCACCAGAATTATATCTGGATGGACTAGGTTTGGTGTTAACAAAAGAATTTTGAAAAAAAAAATTACTGGTAGAAGCATAGAAGCAATTGTTTGGAGCTGACAACAAAATGATACAATAACAAAACCTTCAAAAATATAGTTAAAAATG